CGGGCCCATCACCCCATGGTGGGTCCACCCTTTCTGGATTGTTGCTGGCCGCTGAGCCAGAGCAAGTGGATACCCACAGCAGCCTCTGGTAATGGGGCCCTGCAAGAACCCAGGGGCTCCCCAAGTCACCTGGGGCCAGGCCAGTGTGACGGCCAGCATGTCTTGGTGTGAGGGCTTTCAAAGTGTTGTTCTAAAACATGCTCTGAATCAAGACCCCAGCACGCGGTCACCCAAAGGGGTGCCCTTTTCTCACGTTTCCTGCTCTGGGTGCTGAACCTTGGTATAGGCCAGGCGGGGCAGTACCTACCTCTCTGTGACCAGATGGCTCCCGGGCACTGCCTCCATTTGCCACTAGGCAGCGCTGCTGCAGAGCGTTTGGTGCCTGGTACCTTCCTTGCAGAAACCGGGCAGAGGGGTGGGATGCTTTTAGAGCACACATCCTGTGGTTAATGCGAATTGTGGACCCTCTCTCTTCCCTCCCTTCCTCCCTCCCTCCCTCCTTTCTCTCTCTTTTCTCCATTGCTTTCGGAAGTACTCGGTATGGGAGCCCCAAAAGACAGCTCCAGTTTTACAGGTAACACGCCCTTCGTTTTCCCTAAAATCCAGTCAGCCGAAGGCCAGGGAGCGGGTGGGCGTGCTGGAGCCATCTCTGAAATAGCCCCCCCACCTCCCCATGAGACTCAGGCTCTAGTGACCCCTTGGCACAACTCAGCCAGCGTCATAAAAACATCTGGATAAAAGAAACGAGAAAGCCCCATTCACTGTGCGTGTTAATCTGCTCTGAATCCTACAAATGGGCTCCTGAAATCTGCTTAGCTGCTCACCAAGGCTGCCATCCAAACATCGACCAGTGGGCGGGCCAGAGGTGGAGAGGCTTTCTCATGGCCAGGGGCTTAGGCCATCAGAAGGAAGAACCCAGTGCCCCCACCCCCAACCCCTACTGCCTTCATTCATTCCCCACCCTTGCAGCTCCAGGCTGATCTGTGGCCCACAGAACCCTGGGGAGAATCAAGGCTGGCACTGTCTTGGGGCCGTGCGGTACTGATCTCACCTCTCTTATTGATGCCTTCCCGATTGGTTTCCTTTGTGGCAGATTAGCGAGGTGGCTGTTTACTAGTGGGGTAAGAGGTGTACAGAGGGCCATCAAGAAGTCCGGCTTCCTCCTAGCTTACAGACCGTCAGCCCATGGTCCCTCCCTCTGGGCAGCTTGGTCTTCATCCACAAAATAGACAAATTCAATGCCAGCATCTCCTGCCTTCTCCGCACATCTCTAACTCTAGAAGTTCAATCGCCTTTCCCCTCCTATCAGAAAGGTGTCCGTCATGCTGGCTCGTTGGGTCGGTGAGCCCTGCCGGCCTCTAGCGCACCTACAGGTGCAGCCTTGGTCACAGGCCCCAGGAGTGAGTTGGTGCTTCTTGGCAACCAGGCCAGGGAGGGCTATCTGCCCAGAAGGAGCCTCCCAGCAGTGTGTATGCCCACCGGAGGCCAAGCCATGGGGCATCAGTGTCTAGTGCCACCAAAGAAGCTCAGAGCAGGAGTGTAGGTGGCGGTGTCCAACTCCTACCTGGCCCTGTCCTCCCCACTGCCCCATCTGAGTGTGGCCAGGGCCTAGGGCGTGGGCTAATGCTTATCACTGATCCCTCATTACAAAGAGCCTGGTCTCTGGTTGTCCTGAAATGTGTGAGAGATGAGCTCTTGTCTGAAATAGATTGATCTGAAATTGGACTCTCACATCCTGCTATTAGGTGGAAAGTGTATCATAAGGTGTGGTGTCCATCCCAAGAGGACTGGCCAGGGAAGCCAGGAGTACTCCTGAGCTGCACTTTCAGGGAACTCTGCCCTCTGCCGCCCTGGGAGGGAGTGAGGCCAGAAGAGCAGGCAGAGGCTGAAAGCCCCGCCAGGGATGGGGTGTGGAGGCCGTGCCCACAGAAGGCACCGGTAGTGGTCAGGTGTAACCATGCGGGCAAGAGCGTGTTCCGTCCATTTGATAACCTTCGTCATCCTGACTGCCAACAGTCTTTGCCTTCTGGGAAGCCTTCGGGCTAGGCACCCCCTCCCAGTTCTCTGGTAAGAAGAGCCCCCCGATCTGAAAATGGGTCTCTGGGCCTCTTAGCTCCACACTTGAAAGGCCCACGGGATCCAACGGCCCTGCCCATTGGGCTGCATGTGAGCACACGGGCAGGTTTTCATGGTGACCTCTGGTTGGCGGGGTCTGTGTGTGCTGGGCATCCCAGGTGCCTCTGTGGGGTGGGGACATCAACCCACAGACACTGAACACAGGCTCTTACCTGGAGATTGGCTCGGGGCGCCCCTGTGTATCAGAGTAGAACTGGGTCCTGTAGGGCATTCAAGGGCTGATTTCTTGGACCCAGAGCACCAGGCCTTCCTTCCGAGGCACCTCTGGGTGGACTTGAGCACCCTCCCAGCTGAGCATATTCGCCATTTGCACCCCACACCCACCCCAGGGACTACAAACACCAACGATGGTTTGCTGACTGAAGTCAGTCCATGGCATGGACACCCGTTCTGTCTTGGCCCTCTGATGACACCAGCATGTCCCGGACACCTGCCTCCTACTCATAATAGCTCCCGGGGGTAGGGGGGCGGCTCGAGGACCTCTATGGCTCAGCTGTGGCCACATAGCCCCAGGGCAGGCACCGATAGGCATGTGCCTCTGGCTGAGACATTTTGGGGTGGGCTGGTTCGGGCTGAGTTTGGCTGCAGTTATCCACACTGCCAGTTGGGTCTGTGTGTGACACCCACCCCCCACCCCTCACTAGTGCTGACTTCCCTGCTTAGCATCCTGGAAGGCGCAGACGTTGATGTTTTTCTCTGTGAGCCGACAGGCTGGGGGTTTGAGTCCACCCAGAGGTGCCTCAGAAGAAAGGCCTGGTGCTCCACTTCGGGAACATCCGCCGTGGGAAAGCCTGTGGAATAGGGTGTACTCTGACCTGTGGGGTGGGGAGGGGCTGACCGCCCTGAGTCCGCAGCCCCCTGGTGAGGTGGCAATAGTGGTAGACTCCAGGCATAGACCTCTCAGGGCCAAAATGCTGGCAGACAAGTGGGTGCATGCCCGGCCTGTCGGGCCCTGTGCTTGGGACCGGGACCGGTCACTTTGACTCCTGCTCCTCTGGAGAACGCCAGCCACAAAGCCAAGCCCAAAGCCAGAGGGCGGGAAGTACACTCCTCCCACCAGTGGGGGAGCTGCAGAGTCAGGTTATGACGGTCACGGATGCCAAACCAAAGGCCAGCTCCCTGCCCTGGAGTCTCTGAATGGCAGTGCCACCTGCCCAAGGCCCACGGGACTCATAGTACCTCGTGTTGAAAGTTGACACTGAGCCAGCTCCTCCCTGGAGCCCCATGCACAGCAGAACGAAGGTGGCCCAGCCCGCGTCTGCCTCTTGATGTGTCCCCTCTGGTGGCGGTACAGCCTACCACCGGCCTCCCTCACCCTGCTGGACCTCCTGGTGTCGTGCCCAAAGCCAGCGAGTCTCCGAGTTCTGTTGTCATCCGTACAGAAGTTGGTCTCTAGGCCTTTCTCCTGAAAGTCTGTTGTCCGAAAGCCCCGCTGGCCTGCGAAATACCAGTGACTAGAAGGCAAACACACGCAGATAGAACAGGAGGTGTTGGGGGCGCGGTGGGGGCTCCAGGGAGGAGCCCGAGAGGGAGTCGGAGACAGCTCCGTGGCGAGGACAGCAGGGCGTGAGATGCTGGACCTCAAAGACTAGGCAGGACACAGCACGCAGATTGGGAAGCACATTCCAGACGATTTGGCAACCCGAGCCACAGCCTGGTGCTGTGCAGAGGACAAGAGGTGGTGGCTACGTGGACTGAGTCGCCGGGTACGTGACGGAGAAAGAGGGCAGAATGTAAGGGCAAACTGGGGAGGGTCTTTACTCCCAAGCCAAGGAGCATCAGCTCTATGCAGTGGACACTAGGGAGCCACGTGTGGTGGGTGAGCAAGGCGGAGCCCAGAGCTGTGCTGTGGCAGGCAGTCCACTGGATCAGAAAAGCGGGGGGTGTTTGATACCCAGAAACCAGTAATGGCCCAGGAGGAGGTGAGGGTCTGGACTATGGGAGGTCTTGGAGCAAAGAGGCACAGGCCGGGGAGGGAAAAGGAGACTAAAACTCAGCGCCTGAGTTTTAGTGATGGGCAGGGGAGTGGTTTTAAGAACGTCTGTGCAGAGATGGATGTTCTGTTAACAGAGCAGCTTGCCTGGAGATGGGGGGGGACCTGTGAGACTGGCTGCCCCCCCAGCAATGAGGCACAGGGACACGCACACACACAAGGTCACCAATGACACAGGGACTAGGGGTGGCCTTAGAGAAACTCCATCAAGTCCACCACTTGCGGCCTCTACAGAGAATAGCCTGCTCCCAGCCTCCCCCACGCCACAATGCCCTGGCCTCAAGCCCACTCCCCACCCCAGTCAGGCTCGGCTGCTGTGGACTTGTGGGGCAGACAGCTCCACCTCCACCTGAAACCCCACAGGCACCTCGAGATTTGGGGTCGGCAGATGATGGCCTCCTGGAGATGATCTCCAGAGCCGTGACCCTGGAGCTGGCGGCTCTGAGTTGAACCTGACCCCTGAGCCTCTTTAGGAACACTGTGGACCCACCTCCCCAAGCCCAGATCAACACATGTATGCCAAAGAAGGGTCCCTGGGCCCCCGTGTGGACGGACTTTCAGAACCTGTGCTGGCAGAGTAGGGCATCCCAATCTGGGGCACATCCCGGTGGAGGGGAGGAGGGGTCTCCCCACGGTGTGGACCACGGCGCGCCCACGCTGCAGACGGACGGGTTGGATGGGCAGAAGTGCAAGCTCTGCCTTCTGCCTTTTTCCTACCTGGGGTAGGGAGGGGCAGGGGTGCCAAGGGACAGCTCCCCTCCCCAGCACCAAGCCCCTGCCCCTGAGCTGGCCGCCAGACTGCGCCCAGAACTTCACTTCCTAGGCTTTTAGGGGCAGCAGCGCTCGTGAATAATTCAGCCGTCCTCGCCGAGATGAAAACACCCTAATAGAACTAATGGACTCCGGGTCTCGGAACTGGGCTCTTGTGGGACCCAGCTCACTCGCCAACCCCTTCTGGCGCGGGTTGGTCTGTTAGTCGGGCAGCGACACTCTCCGAATACCACCTCACGGGGCCTTCAGAGCGGCTGGTGAGCCCTCGTATCCCGGCTGGGCCCCTTCTCAGCAGCGGGACAGCAGGTGAGCACCCCCTCTCTGTTTTGGGAGCAGCCGTCCCCGCCTCCTGTACACGGGGGCTGCCCTGGGGGCCCGCGGAGCTAGCAGACCGGAGCAGGTGCTTTTCTTGTCTGTG